TTCCTGTCCTCATCCATCTCCTGCCTGTCCGACCTGATCCGTCCACCAGTTCGTCTAACACTTAAGCTGCTCATCGGTGTCGTTTGTCACTGACCTCCGTCGGCTCGGGGCCGGGGGGCCGCTGGGCTCTTGAAGGGGGTCTTCATTCATCCACCTGTAGGGGGCAGCAGCCGGTCCAGGCTAATCACTGGGGGTCTGAGGAGGCCGAGGAGGGGGGAGGACAAAGGGTGAGGATGGAGGGAGGGGGCAGGAGAGGGGGGGAGGGAGAGGAGGGAGAGAAGGAGCACCAGGAATTAGGCCGGGCCCCAGACAGGCTGCATTCAGGCCGGTGCAGACTAACGCCTGGAGCTGCTGGACTGGACGAGGAGACGCTGAGTTCAGCCTGAAGAGGAAACAGACGGAAAGGGTTCAGGACCTACAGATGTTAACGTTCTGACACATCTGGAGCAACATCGGAGCAGAAAACAAGCTGCAGCAGACGAAAACACGACCGAGCAACGCATCGTCTGTCGGAACAAAAACCTCCACCAACACAAACACGACTGTAGCTTCTCTAGTTCGTTTCTGCAGAATCTTCAACTCAACATCCAGCGTTTGGACCGGACTCGCTCCATCTTCTGTCCAGAGAACATCGGTCCTCTGTCACCATCCTGACGGGTGGATGTACGCCTCGGAGGCCTCTGTCCACCTGCTGGGTTGTGTCAGACTCAGAAGATGCTGCAGGAGTTTGGACTTAAAGCTGAACATGGTTCAAAGTCTGCAGCAGCTTAAGGCCTCAAAACACAAACAACCAACGAGAACTTTCACAATAAAAGCTTCCGTCGTGACTCTGAGACGATTAAACCGAATCAGCGACCAGAATGAGAATCTGGACAAAGTTCACGTGATGCGATCCTGACGCATTGAGGGCAGACATTTTGACCATTATCATTATTATTATTATTATTATTATTCTGAAGTGTTTCTACTTCATTTGTACATTACTTTGGGTTGTTCTGGGGTCGTTTTCCACATTTCCAACATGTGGGACACGCAGCAGCTCGACTCGTGCGCCGACACGTGCCCGCTGCAGCAGCTGTTTGGGTCGCGGTGGATCTGAAAACCTCCATCTGCAGCTGGAGGTGAAGGAGCTCCAACCTGAGACGCTCCTGATGTTTGCAGCTGCACAACAACAACATCCACAAACTGCGACACAAACCACAGAGCTGCTGCACCAGATGCACACATGCAGCGCCGCCGCACACACACAGCAGACCAGAAACACACTAGAACCCGACTAGAAACAGACCAGAACCAGACTCGAGACGGGCCGGGTCAGGTCAAAGGCCGGCGTCAGTCTGTTGTGTTTCTGAGGTTTTAACTTTGTTCTAATCAAACAGATGATCAGTTTAATCCAGATGTTTCTACGGTTGTTCTAATGTTCTGTTTAGGTTGTTTTAAACGTTCTTGTACAACAAACAGCAGCAGAGTCAAAGTTCTTGATGCGGCTCGTTTGGGCTTCGATCTAAAGTTCTGTTTAAAGTTTAACGACATTAAAGTGTGATTTGAGGAATTAAACTGGACCCTGTCTCCTGGCCGGCCCGCTACAGGCCTCTGGTGTCTGGTTCTGGAGGTCCAGGCTCGTGTGCAGCCCTCTGGACGGTGAGTCCTGCAGGTTCTGACCCAGACACCAGACACCAGCAGCAGCAGTGGGACCAGAGGTTCTGGTGCTGCAGATCTGATAGAAACTCTCACTTTCTGCTAAAACATGTCAAAACATTCCCGGTTCTGTGAGCCAACTTTAACGTTTCTCACTCTGAGGCCTGCTAAAGTCTGGATGTGCTGGTTCTGGGTTCTGGGGGTCCAAACCCACATATCTGGTTCAGACCAAAACAACACTGCAGATGATGGGTCTGAGGAACGTTCAGGGATGGAGGTTCTAAGGCCCGTTCCGACCCTCTGGCTCTCAGATCCAGGCTGGTTCTGAGGGTCCGGTCTCCGGTTCGGCCTGCAGACGCCGGATCCTGCCGGTTCCGACCCAAACAGCCGCTCAGATTCTACCTGCTGCTGATGAAGCTGATGATGAAGATGCGCAGAGGTCACCGTTCCTCCGCAGCGGCTCTCCGCAGCTCCGCGCCGCCGATCTCACGCTAAATGTGAAAATGTGCGCAGCGCTAATTGGTCGTCCGCAGCGCCGCCGCCATGTTGCGCCGGTTCTCCCAAAAGCCGCAGCGGTCCGAGAAACGGCGCAAGCGAACAAAGGAGAGCGGCGGTCTGCGGGCGGAGGCTCCCCGCCGCCGAGCTCGCAGCTCCGCGCACGACCCGCAGCGCGCACGCACGGTTCGGTCACCGGGCCGGTAGCGGCGACGGGAGCGGCGGGTTCTTACCGATACAGCGATCAGCGGCGCCGCATAATCCCGATCAACCGCCGAAGCTCCGAATTGATCCGCTGAGGCTCCGTTTGGCGCTCCACTGCGTCAAGCTGGCTGCGCCAAGATGGAGGGCGGCGGGCAGGAGGCCGCCCTTCACAATAAGAGCCCGGAGGCAGCAGTGGGTGTTGGATCAACACGGAACCGAAGGCCCAGCGGCCCGGTGTCCTGATCTGTGCGTGTTTTCTGCACAACAGTGTGTCTGCTTGTGGTGGTTTGTGTGTTTTCAGCGTCATGTTGCGTCTCTTGTCTCACTTTGAGCTCCTTTTCTGTCACTTTGTGGTTGTTTTGCATATTTCTGTTTATTTTTTTGCCTTTTTTGTTTTTTGCATAATTTGAGGCCTTAATGGTTGTTTACTGAGTGTTTAGCGTTGTTTTGTCCCTCTTTGTATCTTCTTATGATCGTCTTGTGTCACTTTGTGCTTGTTTTTTTGTGCTTGAGCGTCGTTTTGTGTGTTTTGTTTCCATTGTTTTGTGTCTTGTTGCTCATTTGGTCTCCTTGTGGTCGTTCAGCATCTTTGCAGTGAGCTCTGGGCTCTCAGAGTTGTGCACTCATCCTCCATCAGTGGTTGTTTTTATTGAACAAGATGCATGTCAGCGTGCATTATAAACACACTGCATATTCCTGCTGAAGGCATTTTACTGCTGTGTTTGTGTTCGCTCTGTGTTTTAATGTGAAGGCCTCTGTGCAGGTTGTAGGAGCACTGAGCTGCTTTCCTAGCATGAAATGTTCAAATAAAACATATATTATAATTATTACTAACATACTGTTGATGGTTATTCTCCTTCATCTGCACAAATAAATAATAACCGGCACACACCATGTAATAATAAACAGTCAAATATTATGCTGCAGTAGACGTATATTAAAGGTTGATTACACTCTATAAATACCAATGTGTAGTTGAGTAATGTATACATGATGATGCTTTATCTAATATATTATAGCACAGTTTAGTATCTGTAAATGTATTTTTCTCTGACGTCAGCCAGCGTGCAGGTTTTACTTTGAAACATGACACCGGATGTGCAGCAGGTTACGTCAGTAACTTGACGCCATTTTGCTCTCAAACCAAAAATTCTTCAGCGCCGAGTCCCGCCTTTCAGCCTTTTGCTAAATAGTGATCCAGGGGAAGGCCGGCGGCGCGGCTCGCTGCCAAATACCGAGCGTTTGTTTGTGTCGGTCCGCTGACGTCACGGACGGACCGTTAACGGCGGAAAACACCGACACGCTTCCATCTGGCATTTTTACATGCAGCGACGGTTCGGAGGAAGTTAATAAAACAGTCTCTGCATTGTAGTGTGAACGGCGGCACGGCAGGCGGCGCTGTGGCGGTTATAAAGTTATACGTGACCGTAAAACACACGAGCTGATCCTGAGTCAGATTTTATAACCTTTGAATGTGTTATAAAGACACAAAGCTGAATTATAGCTGAACTGGAGTCAGCTGTGTAAAATGCGTTTGATTTAGTGACAGAGCCAGCCCCAGAAAGGCGGTGTTTGCCCCGCCTTTACACAGCAATGTATCAACATGAGGCGATAGCGCCGCCCACCCGGTGCACCTCGGTGTACAAACCGAAGCCACAATCTGTTATCAGAGCGAAGGAATTTCGGTAAAAATCCGCACAGTCCACCGCTGCATCAGTACATGCTAGCGGCGTAGCGTTAGCTGTGACGGCGGGACACCCTGGAAGAGACGGAGACCCCTCCGGAGGATGACCGGCGGCGCGGACTGGAAGTGAACATCGTCGTGGCACGATGTGAGATGAACCGGGGCAAAGCAGCGAGCGAGGCCGGCGACATCATGCTGGTCCGGGGCTCGGTGAGTGCGGCGCCGCTCGGCTGCTAACAGCGCCGGCTAACGCTGCTAGCAGAGCCGCTCGGAGGACGGAAAAATAAAAAGTAGAGCCGCTCTGCTCGGTAGTTTACCGCTGACAGCCCAGTTAGAGGAAAGCCCGCCGGTTGGGTCACCGGTTAACTACGCGGTTTAGACTAGCGACTCGGCTAGCTAACTAGTTGTTAGCTCAGTTTACTTCAAGTAACTGATTAGCAGTGATGGTGCTCCGGCCAGTGGATGGAGGAGGTCTGCTTGTTATACTGAGTTACGTAAACGGCGTATAAATGTAATAATTAACAGATAACAGGAATAAAACACCGTAAGATAAAACAGGAAATAGTAACAGTGAAATTACCTAAGTACAAAAATAATACCAATCAAAAAAAAAAAAAACATTCAAAAAAGATTAAAAACAAAATAATAATAATAGAATAAATTACCCGCTGACAAGGATAAAATAATTTACATCCGAGTTAAACAAAGCATAAAAATATAAACAACAATAAAGTAAATTACATTAAAGTGTAACACAATAAAAACAAAAACAGAAAATAATGACGTAAAACAAATGAATTACAGTAAAATACATCAAAATAAAATCCAAAACATGATTATTAAATGAGTTACAGTGAAATAGAATGCAAAACAAAAATAAAATGCAGAATTTAAATACAAAATAAATTAGATTTAACAGTAAAATGACACCAGGAGACAGTGAGGACGTCTGACATATATCTGAATATTGACTTTTTTCTTTTTTTTTTCTTGCTTGATAAAATCGATGTGCTCTTGTCCTCCCTTTTATTTGAGTCCTTGATAATTATCGTTCTATATTCTTGGAGGTCCAGACGTAGTTAAAACCGGTGTTGTCTCCTCCGCTGGTGGAAACTAAGCTGTGCTTCCTGTTTCCCTTCTTGTGGATAAATCTGCATGTGGTTGACTTCTCACTGAGTCCTTTATGTCGGTTAGCTAGTTGAGCGTTTTCTTTGTGGCCTGCTGGAGTCATAAAGAGAAACGGTGCAGCTTTATTCATAGCCGCCGACCTGTCAGTGAAGGCATCAGTAACCACATCGTTCATCCTGTCGAGCTCAAACACAACTTTCCACCAACCAGAGCGAAATGTTCAAACTGAAACTAGCTGTTCAACTGGAGATGGTTGTAAATCTGATCTTCATTTAAAGTATAACCCAGTGAAGCAGAAAACCCTCACACACACACACACACACACACACACACACAGAAAGCTTTGTGTTTCTACCAGATAAATGACTTCGTTATTAATATTAAACCGTCACATGTCTGAACTGAGTCTGGCTTCAGTCGGTCGTGAAGCTTCTGACAATGTGGACGAAGTGAGACGCTCATGGTGACAGAGTCGGGCTTGGTTCTGTAGTTCAGACGCACCCAAGATGCCTCAACGCAGCGACACGTAGGTTCAGCAGAACCGAGCAGGAAACTGTGTGAATGAGGTGAAGCTGTATTTAGATCATCCAGGCTGTTGAAGCTAAACCTCAGATAGCGCTCGCTCTGGAGTTTATTTCTAGATTCTCGTGATTAGTCATCATCAGGAGTCTGACACTAGTTCACAGGCGCTGGTTGCGGTCCAGCAGAGGAAACCAGACGTGTCCTTTGCTGTTGGTTCTGACCGTGACAGTTCAGACGTCTGAAGCTGCATCCTGACAACTAAACTACAAGCTGCTGTTGAGTGATCGCTGCTCTACTGACCAGCAGTTCATCAACTGGAGCCTAAACGATGAAATATAAAAGTAAAATTGAAGTTCTAAATGTTTAATCAACTTATTATGCTATAAGTAAAGTCGGTTATTGGACAGAAATCTGCGTTTTCCTGATATTTCTGAGCATCTGATGAACAAAACGGTCTTTTTCTGAGCATCAACACCTCAGTCACCTGAATGGTTGTGATGATTTGATGGTTCTGTGTGAGTGGAGTTTGTTGAGCTGCTTCCTGGAGATCAGCGGGAGGAGCCTCTCTGTGAGGCTCTAATGTGTGGAGCAGGTTTTAGTTCCCACAGATGAATAGTTAATGTCGGTTCTGTGCTTCCAGCCCGGTCGAGGCCGAGCCAGAGTGACTCATGCGGTGGTGGTGATCTTCCTGGAGTTCTTCGCCTGGGGGCTGCTGACCACGCCCATGCTGACTGTGAGTAAACACCATCCTCAGCTGTTGACAGTCTGCTCTCCTCACACATCAGCTACATCTCCCCCGAATGAAGGATACGTTGACGTTGTTTTCCTCGTGCAGGAGTCCAGCGAGTTCATTTACTCTCTCTGTTCGCTGCTTCTGCTAAACTCCAGAACATCTGAGCAAACCTTCTGCTGTTAGAGTGAACACAAGCGTCTTCATGCAGGAACTCAACAGCCAGTGGGTTGTATGAACGTTGTCCTCAGTGTTAGCACGGTGTTCTGCTAACGTGGCTAACGTCAGCTGTGATGCTCAGAGCTCTGTGAAGCTCTACTAGAAGCACCTTAAACATGTCTCATGTGAAGCGATCCTCAGAGAGAAGGTCAGACGACAGACGGTCCTGGATCAGCTGCTGTGGTCACAGGTTTTACTGTCAGCCTCTCATGCAGAGACTTTTCCTCCTAAACAGCAGCAACTCACTGGTTTCCAGAGCAAAACTTAAACCAGCAGTTATGTAGTCGTGGAGTTCTGAGCTGAACAACTAACATCGAACACACTGAGAGACTTTCATTTATCAGAACAGAACAATACGGGACATTTATGTAGAAAGTCTGTGGTTTGGAAGGCAGCCAGTGACTTGCAGAGCTAATCTTCTAAACTCCTCTGTAGTGCTTCCTTGCTCAACCACAGCAGCACAAAGAGGCCGGTTTGCACTGAGAGGGGCGGCGCCGCCTCCGTTTGTGTTCAAACCAGGCAGCAGCGTGTTCGGCTTGTTCACGGTGGAAGTAGGACTGTGATTGTTGTACCTGCTGATGAGAGCATCAGTGACAGGAAGGCAAACACCAGATGCCCTTACATGTAGATGTGTAGTCCTGCAGCAGCTACTTTATGGTCTCCATAAACGTCTACATGACCTAAACTCTGAAAGTGAACTTGGTTTGTTTGACGTTTCACTCTGTTTCCTCTGTGACACGTCGTTGAGCCAAACACAGAGAATCCAGTCATGAACTCAGCAGCTCTGCGTCTGCCGTCATGTTTACTAGAGTGCAGGTGACGACTCGTCTTCGTTCTCCTGCTGACGGCTTTAAAAAGTACAAGAGACTAGAGGTTAATGAGTCAGCAGCTGTGTTGAGCCTAAAGTCAGAGTTTTCTGTGTCGTGGACTGTCTTTTAACTTAC